CGCAGAGTAACTAACCAAGCGAGCCTACAGAACCGCTCAAATGAGCTGATTGGCTGCTGACATGTTCCTATACTGTTGTCTTATGTGTCTAGCCCGCTATGCCTCAAATCTTTGGTAACTTTCAGCTTTCTGTAAATAATAAAAGTTGGGTAAATGTACTCAGTAGCTTTCAAATATAACAATCACAAAAGTGCATTCGACTATATTTGTTTTGATTTTACACCTTCTCAAAGCAATTTATTGCCCTTTCATTCATTAACCGGCTGTTGTTTGAAGTTAATCGTATCTGGTTCAGGGGAACGAGATATAGGAGATTAAGATACAGCCACAGAATCACGCAGAAACTCGCTCACACAGGATGCATGTTTCTGTAAAGCAGAAGGAAGCTGCTTGAGCACCCAGAGGAAAACCACACAAATATGGGGAGATCGTGCGAAGTCCACACAGAGTTCAAGAAGAAATCGATTCCGTTCAACACTGAAGCCTTTTCCAAGTGTAATTAGTATAATAAATTAACTATTTGTCTTTGGGGCTGCTTTGATAGCGGCAGACTGTAAGACTAGCGGCCACCAACTTGTTAACCCATACGCATATGATTAAAACCTAAAACGCTCTCACGAATCTGCCAACCCACACTCTCCCCTCCCTTTTAGGCCCTTCTTTATGATGGATATTTCATTACCTATATGTATAGATGCCTCCCTCAGTCATTCAGTTAACCAATCTTCATCAGGGTCTTGGCTGACTAAGAAATGTTTTGCTTATTAATCATTTTTATTCTCTTTATGGGAAATGGCATGGCCACCCAGTGGTCATTACTGGAAAATGATCCTGAAGCATAATAACAGTCATTATTTAATAAGTAGCAGGCTTATTAAATGACGAGGAATCCTGTAGAAACCCTTTAAAAAATATCTGTATTTCAGTACGATAATCTGCATCTTCCAATTTGGTTCTAAATGCATCTTTGGGCACAACCCAAAGAAGCTTGTCATCTAATGTTTTATTAGTACTTGACTGCAGCTGCTTTCTTTAACAACAGAGGGCAGCATACATTTAACGTCTGTATATTCTGTTTTGGAAGATGTTCTAAGGTATTTTATTTTGGTATTACTAGCAATTCAAGATGCTAGTGAGTTCTGCTGTGATCTATGGTTTGGAGATAGTGGCACACACAAAAGGAGGTAAAGCTGGAGGTGTGAGAGTTGAAGATGCTAATTTCATTGGGAGTGACCAAGCTGGACTGGACTTTTACAGTGAAAGGATAGTGGACATAAAGGACATTGAAGATGGAGCTGCCAGGGGGGAGGAAACAAGGAAGAGGACAGAGGTGGTTCAGGGAAGCAGTGAAAGTGGACATGCAGGCGGTTGGTGTGATAGCAGAGATAAGCTGAGATGGAGACAGATGATCTGCTGTGGTGACCTCCTAAAGGGAGCAGCCACAGTTTACTGTGTGTGGACAGTAAGATCTCCACCACTGTGTTCAGTTTACAACTAAAGGAGAAAGTGTGGTTGAAAGATGAGGTTTACATTTAAAGAACTTTAACACCAAACTTTCACTTCTTGCTTTATTCTACGTCCACATTGTAAGCCTACCATTATACAGGAATAACAAAGTATTGTATTTTTGTGTATTCCAATTTAACTGTACCACAATACCACTGTCATTGTTTTTCTCATATTGCTTCAAAATCAAGACAGTTTGTATACATCAGTGTTAGTAGAGAGAAGATTCCTTGTTTGATGGTTGTTGTTTTTTTCTCTTTCCTTCTTTCTTTTTTTACTATTATCAACTAAAAAAAACCACACACACATACAATAAATTAATAAATTAACACAAGCAATCTGCCTTACAGTAGTAGTAATAATAGTGGTTAAAAAAATCTTTACAAGTACAGTACGTCAACTCAGTGACAGCCTGACAGTAGATCTGAACAGTGTTTTCAACCCAGTCAGGCTGTCATTTAACATACTACAGCTTACAATCTACCACAACACATACACAACTCTTCTGCTTACACATGATCTCTCTAGATAATAAATTACACATCCATTTCATTAAAAAAAAAAAAAACCAAACAAACAGACAGGGAGACAGGCTTTTCTTCACTCTTTCCTTTCCTCTCTTGCTCTTTGTGAATCACAATTCACCTGGGATTTGCCAGTCCAACTTACACTGGCAGCCTTTGCCTTTTTATGATTAGATCATACAAAAATGAAATTTGGTAATTTAAAAAAGAATAATACACTAAACAAACGTAGTTTACTTTAGCCTGTTCCTGTCATAATGCATAACACTTGCTTACATGTATCAGTAAAAAATAATGATTAAAAAGAATATAAAAAAGCTGTAAAAATGGTAGAAAAACATTAAGAAGTAAATCTTAATGAAATAATCCATACCATCTAGCACTCCATGGCCACGCTATTCTTATTAAGGTCAAAAATGGATTCTGTGGTTCCAGCCCACAATGAAATACTGAACTTGAGTTGAACTAGAAACTGATCATTCAGTTGTCCTTACTATAATATGATTCTTCCTGTTTATTCTAAGAATATTGTGAAAATTTCTTCAAGGCAAAATGTACGGTCTAAACCGAAATGAAAATATAAGGCAAATTGATCAACAAAAGAAATTTAGTAAACAATATTTCACGACTGTTTTATAGTGACTACGATCACTGGCAAATATCCACTGTGGTAGATTTCCTTTGCATTTAAAGCACTATGTTACATTATTGTAGTGCTCTTTATGCCTTGTACAAGTGTATCAAATTTCTAACAGTCAAAAAGATGCACTGCAATATGTATATCTATTAATAATTTACATACAGGAACAAAAGTACTCCTCAGGGACAAAGCTGTAGTGTGTGGCATTTCAAAGCCCAAAGAGAGAAATCAGTGAATGGGGAGTTCTGGAAAACAGAAATATGCTACTCTTTATCTACTAGACTTTTGTTAATGGTCTCTAGAGAGAGAGTACGTGCAAACTACACCTCTTGTCTTATTTCTATTTTTTAATCAGCACAACACAATAATTTTGGGTTTGTTTTTTTTTTTCAGTGCACGTTTACATTGCAAATCCATTTGAATCTTAACTCAAGTGAAATGACCACTGAAATCAAACGTAACGAGGTTTTGTCATCTTGCCTTTCCCATCTTCTTCATGTCGTAGATTTGGATGTAGCCAACTTTGTTCCTGCATTGAAATAATTGGCCTGCCATCATGCCTGACAGCTTTTAAATATAGTTTGGGCTCATATTTAATAGAAACCCAGGCAACAGTCATGTATGGTTATCATTAGGGGTTCTGACACAAGCCTTTGCATATTTGTATGGCTATATTTTTTTCCTCTCCTCTTACCAGACATGCACTGCTAAGCTGAAATGATTGCCCGCAGTGAAAATAATCTCTTCACTGCTTCTGCAAGACTCAGCACAAATGATAGATTAAAGTGAAAAGAGAAAGTCAGCCTGCATGCCAAAATTGAAGTGCATCTTGGCATTCCTGAGACCAGCAAGCATACTCTTACAGTATATTAATATGGTTATTGACCAGTTAGCCTCTGTTGCTCTTAAATGGCAAAGACAAAATAAACTGCCAACTAGATGCAAACAAAATTAACTTCTGCAGAGGGTTGAATGGAACAGTGATCAAGTGCATTTATAAATAACAGTTTGACAGTAAGGATGATATTATTAATTATCTATTCACTGTTCTAACAGTCTGTATGAGGAGCTTTGGCAGGGAACTTCACCTGTATGGCCTGATATTCTGCATGCTTGCAGTACACTCTAATAATAATCATCACAAAGAACAGGCATAAATTAGTTATGGCTTTAGGCCCAAATATTTTAGTTTTAAGCAAGCTCATCCAGTATCCATGGTAATGGTGGCAGAAACTTGACACTGGAGATGGCTGACCTAAAGTGCCCCTATTATGCTTTAAGTTTTTCCTCAACTCTCTAATCTGTTACGCAGCCTTTTGTTCATGTAAGAGGTCTGGAAACTTTCAAAGGCCAAACTTTCACGTGTGGCCAAATGAAAGCAAAATC